AAGGAGAGGGTGGGAGTAGGTATTGACAGCTGAACATTCTATAAGCAAATAGGTAGAGTTCAGGATGATGCTTCCATTTGTTCTATGAAATAAGATCCCCAGTTCCTGACAGAGTGGCATGCATAAGCAATGATCAAGAAGCAGTACTCTGTGGGTTGGCAGGTGGCATGGTGGTTGAAGTGCTGAACCTCAGTTCAAGTCCTGGACCTGGAGGTTTGCTGTCTCACTCTCCCTTTCTGTCTGGCTCTCTCTGGTCAAAATTGAAGAATAATGCTAATAAATAAAAATTTAAAATACATTTTTAAAAAATTAGTCTTGGTATACTCACATATTTCTGCCCTCAACAAATGACTTCTACATTTAACCTGCATTATTCCCAAACCTACTTATTACAGTTGTCTCTGATATGTAATTATATAATGTAACTGAATATGAAATAATGAGTGTGAAAAGAGGGTTGCTGTAACTATGAAAACTTAGTTGAATGCTTTGGGAAGTTTGATTTTAGCATCCTGCCTTCATCAAAAATTTCTGGACCCACACAACGTACTAAGAGTGAACTAGGAAGAAAGAGAAAACCTGAGCAGATAATAATAAGTAATGAGATGGAATCAGTAGTAAGTTTTCCAACAAAGAGGCCCAAGACTATATAGCCTCAATGCTGAATTCTACAAAAGTTTTAAAAAATTGGGAACCAGCAGTTAGCCTAATGGCTATGTTGCTGGACTCCCACGTAGTCAACCGCAGTTCGCGTCCCAGACCCGGTGGCTTAAAACTCATGCCGGGCGCGTGTGCGTGCGTGCCCAAGATCCCGAGAGGAGAATGGAGAAGGGATTGCGGTGTGACTGTCCCCCCTGGGGGGTGATTTCTCGCTTTCTGTCTCTGTCTCTCTCTTGTCTGTCTGGAGAGTGCACGCGCCCTATAGCGGGGAAAAAAAAAAACCTCTCCAAAAAAAAATTAACACCAATTCTCAACTATTTCAAAATGTTGAAGCAGAGGGAATCTTCCCAAACTCAATTTACAGGAACAGAACTACTCTCATACAAAACCAGACAAAAACGAAACATAAAAAAAAAAAAAAAAAAAAAAAAAAAAAAAAAAAAAAAAAAAAAAAAAAAAAAAAAAGCCTATAGGCCAATATGCTTGCTGAACATAGATGCAAATGCAAACATCCTCAATAATATACTAGCAAACTGAACCCAGCAACACACTGAAAATATTATACATGTCATGATCAAATGGGACTTATCCCAGGGAAGAAACATGACAACAGACTAAAGAATGTAAAATTCTCTGCTGAAAATCATGTATATAGTAATAACCGTGATTCGATGGTCCCATACTGCATGCATCCTTTGAAAAATCATATTGTACACTTCAGAGGAATACAATGATGGAATACAAATTTTTTTTTTAAAGACACACACAGGGACCAGCACATGGTGTAATGGTTACATTGCTGGACTCCCATGTAGTCGACCACAGTTCAAATCCTGGACCTGGTGGCTTAAAACTCATGCCAGGATGGGGCCAGCAGGTGGCATGGTGGCACTGGACTCCCACATGGGCGACCACAGTTCAAGTCCCAGTTGCTTTCTGGTGTTGCTTTCTCACTTTCCCTCTGTCTCTCTCTGTCCCTCTCGGGTCAAATTAAAATAAATAAGTAAATAGTGTTAAATTTTAAAATTAGAAAAAAAAAGTATAGAGTAGAATAGGGACTACCAGAGGCTGGGAAGGATGGACAGGGTGGATAAAGATGTTTGTTAATGGATACAAAATTACAATTAGGCAAAAGGAGTAATTAGAGTGTTCTACAGCACAGTAGTTAACAGTAACTTATTTATGTATTTTAAAACAGCTGAGAGGATTTTGAATGTTATCAACACAAAATAATGGCAAATGCCCGAGATGGCGATCACACTAATTACCCGATGTGATCATTTCGCCTTGGACACTTGTACTGAAAAGTCACTGTCCCCTATAATATAGTGTCAAGTACGAATGTTAAAATAATTAAAAAATTAAAATGTCTATATGAAAGTGAAAAAATGCTAAAAATTCTATCTATCTAGGTACAAATAAGGCAACTGCAAATTACACATATGCTTTAACTATAAAATGTACATTAAAAGTGTTTTCGAAAAAGTTCTATATTCATAGCACTATAACATGGAACAATAGTCCCATGAATGGTAAATGTAAAATTCTTTGTTCTGCAAGGTTCTGTTCTTGTTCTCATTTTAAGTGAGCAAAACTATAAATAATAAATTTTTGTCTTTCACAAAGAAAATGAGATACAGCTCTAGTGGGTCTGCGTAGCGAAAAAGCCTTAGTGTTACTTAGAAATAGTGTAGGATTAAAGTATATGCTTTTGCGACACCCCATTTCAATAGACTTTTCCCAAGAACTGAGTAACTCCTGGTCCAAGCTGTTATTAAGACTGTGTCTACAGTTTCAAAGGTGAATAAGAAGAGAGAATGGTTAAGTTACTGGTTACCTATGATACATTCATATGCTTAATGGGTATTTTTAAAATCAATCCTATGAGATAGATAATATCATTCACATTTAGCAGAACAGGAAAACATTTCAAAACCATATGCTCCTAGTCCAGGTGCCTGGAAGAGTGGTCATCCCATACATGTTAAATAAGTGATCCATGCTCTCTTAGTCAATTTAAAATATTTCAACACTTCTCTCCCCACCCCGCCCCACCCCCCAAAAAAACATCAGTACTGGGGCCAGCACAGGTGGCATAGTATTTAAGGTGCTGAACTCCCACATGAGTCCCAGACCTGGCAGTTCGAAAACCACACCAGGCATAGGAGCATGCATGTCCAAAATCCTGAGAGAAGGAATTGCAGTGTGTGGCCATTGCCTCCTCCCTCCCCACACTGACTTTCTCTCTGGTGAACACCCACACCCTAAGGCAAAATTCAAAAAAAAAAAAAAAAAAAAAAAAAACAGTACTTGGGCCAGCCAGGTAGTATGGTGATTATGGTGGATAGATCCCTCATAGTCAAGTGTCTGGTTTGAGTCCTGGACCCAGTGGCTTGAAAGACACACCAGGTCCATGTATGTGCATGCCAAAAATTCTGAGAGGAGAATGGAGAAGGGATTGTGGCATGGCCACCTTCCCTAGGAAGAGATTGCTCTACCCCATCCCCTCTTTTTGACAAGCACACAAGCCTTACAGCAGATAAAAAGAATCAGTACTATCATATATGACATAAGTTTCAAAGCCTTTGCCACTGTAGACCTTTGGCACACCTCCAGCCTCAAACTAGTATCCCCCATGTGCACTCTCTACTCCAGGAATAGCTGCTTAGCTGCAGTTCTCCCAACGCACCTGCCCAGACCCTGCCTCTGCACCCGCCCTTTTGTTCCATCTGGAATCCTCTCCTCATCCTCTACCTGGAAAGCTTCTGCTCTTTAAGATACTTAGTGAAGCTCTTGATGTCCTACCCACCTTCTCCCCTCCCTCCCCTACAAAGTTTTCCAGAAACAGCATCATGTTTATAATCCAGTTGAAGTACTTACTTATATATCCTATACTGATGCACATACTGCCTTGCAGAGCTGCTGGGGGCGGGGGACAGGGAGGAGAGAGCATTCTCACAGCTCCTCTATTAAGGAACTCCTCCTAAGGGCCAATGACTCCCACACCTTAGTTTTTCAAGTCCCTAACCTACTCCCCAGCTCTTAGTCATCTACTCCACCCCAATTCCAGCCGCCGTGTGGAAAACATTACTGGCCATGCTGATGGTTCACACAATACCCTTGAATGAGGCACAGTTCTCAAGACTCCGGGTTTTTATTGTATTAATGTCAAAGCCTAGATCCGCATCTCTTCCACAATCCTAGCTAGTCTCCATCCCATTATATATGCAATTGTCACACTCACTTTACTTTTGATCCCTACACTCTACTCCAGCCGCCGTGTGGAAAACATTACTGGCCATGCTGATGGTTCACACAATACCCTTGAATGAGGCACAGTTCTCAAGACTCCGGGTTTTTATTGTATTAATGTCAAAGCCTAGATCCGCATCTCTTCCACAATCCTAGCTAGTCTCCATCCCATTATATATGCAATTGTCACACTCACTTTACTTTTGATTTCTACATCCTTCTGGTCACTCAGTTTACCAGTCCTACTGATGGTTTTTCTTACAACCCAGCCCAAATCGCAAGGCCAATCTCCAGAGACTTTTAATGGCCTTTTTCTTCAGACACACCTGCCTTACAGAGCCTGACCCCAGCACAATCCACTCTTTAAACATCCCACATTACTGGCAGCTGAGCGCTACTGGAGAAAGAACACAACTTAGCCTCCAACCACTGAAATCCATAGTTTCCTTTCTCAAATGGGTTCTCAAAGGCATTTCTCAATTTTTTTAACATGGCTTTGTTCAGTTTCTTCAATGCTGCTGGTGCTTAATACTAACAAAAATGTGAGCTGTGACCTATAGCAAACTGAGAGTGCTGGACATAGAGTAAGAAAAACATAAAAGACCAATTATCAAAACTGTAATAATCCAGCTCTGATGTTACATATCCCTTAGGTTCTAAGTTAATTACTTCAATGGCACTAAGGAATACTATAGCTATCCTTTCCATTCTTACAGGTTTTTAGAGTTTGGAAAATGAGATGAAGTGTAGACCATCAGTAAAAATGGCTTTCAAATCCCTTCATGTCTCAGATACTCTTCATACTTACTATTTTGTAGAGAGAGATGTTTGCTATAGGGCACATGCACTTGCCAGAGAGACAGAGACAGACAGTAAGAAACTACCTCCCAGGGGGGATGACCACGCTGCAATCCCTTCTCCTCCATTCTCCTCCTGGGGTCTTGGGCACACACACCCAGTATGAGTTTTAAGCTGCCATGTCTGGGACTTGAATCATGGTGAACTACGTGGGAGTCAGCAACATAACCAATCTGCCATCTGCTGGTCCCTCTTCATACTTATTTTTAATGAGACATATACGACTTTTGTTTTTATTTTGAATTTATTCTGTGCAGTTTAGAGTGGAAGTTAAAACATCATACAGACAAACCACAGAAGCTTTAGATATATAGTAGTGACCAAGTCTGAAACCGAAAACAGTGAATGATCATTTACACACATTCCTCATCTTCAATTTTACATCTTACGAAACAAAGGTACCATTAACACACACGATCCGGATTCATTATAAACCTATTTGTCAAGCAGCAGATGACCAAGCATCATAGCACAGCACACAATGTTTCCTTTAAGAAAACACAGCAGCAGTATTTGGTTATGCATAGAACTGACTTAGCGCGTCAATGCTAAACATTCCCGATAAACAGGTAGCACACACACACACACCAACAAATGGAGAATGTAACTTGTATTAATATATGTTATTTTTAATGCCTTAAGTTAAAAATCAGAGGACACTTTAGAAGCAAACAATACAAGATACTTTAAATTCTAGACTCTGTAACAGAACTCTGTTGTACTTGTCTCCTATGAGTCTGTATCACTTTTGAGAATGGTTCACTGGCTTTTAAAGTCAACCTCAAATTTAAAAGCACTTGAAGTTTACCAGTCAAAAGCTAAAGGTACATTGGTTGCATATAACATCAAAACTAATCTTTTGAGTAAAACTGACATTTAAAAAGATAGCATTGTTGACGCAAAATAATTACAAAAGTTGTTGCTCTTAAAAGTAAAAATGCACTACTCTCATGTTATAATACATTTTGATTTAAAATGCCAAATTTTATGAACCCACTGTGTGTGTTGGAATATATATATATATATATATATATATATACACACACACACACACATATATATATATCCCAAACTTTGGAATACATATATATATATCCCAAACTTTCAGCCAAAGAACCTTTTGTCATGGTTTTTAACCTAATATTTAAAGCCAACACATCAGTAACAAAGTATGTGTTTCCACTCTGAAAAAGATCATTACAAAACTTCACTAAGTGCATGCTATATTTTGTTTGATGTAAATATTAAAAACCTCATGGAACAGTGCTAAAATATTGAGTGGTTTTGGCATTTAAATCTGAACGTTACCAAAACAACTGGTACAGGCAATTTTCATAAAATGTATCAGAAGTAAATGAAAGATCTGGAAGAGAAACAAACCAACCTACCAGAATTCTCAATTGTAGAAATAATTTTCAAGAGATGGCATATTTGATCACTATCAATCTTTGAAGGGCTGCTCAGATAAAACTGTAATATTTTTATGTGTTCTGAATGCTTATAACAGTTTAAACTTTAAAATTAACCACAGGCTAGTTCACCTTCCACTGAGAGATTAAGAAAACAAAAAAAAAGGTATGACGCCATTCTAGTTAAGTTTATCTACAAACATTATAACAGAAAAAAAAAAAAAACAGAAAAACTATACAACATAATTTCTGCATTAACATTTTCTCTTTTCTCATAGTATATAGAAATATATACTATGGTAAGTATGCTGTGGAATGCAGGGTAAGAAAAGAATTTTTAAAAGATTAGTTTGTAGGACCTTCCTATTGGCAACAGTGACTCATCTTTACTCTCCTAAAATGAGTTAGAACATAGTATGAGCTATTGATAAGCTTTTAGGTGTATTTCTCAAGTTAAGGAAAATATTTCTCAAAATTCTATAAAGTAAGACAAGCTTGAAGCATAAATGTCAATAAATGCCAACATGTATTCCTTTACATGGATTAATTTGTATTAATTTGGGCATATCCCTTTGTAGATTCTGGGGGGAAGGTTACATCAGCCCTCATTCCTTAATACTGATACAACAGGAAGTTCACCAACTACTTCGAGTTCTTTTTAACTATTATCTAAACCTTAGATATCCACAATAAAGCTGAATTCATAGTTTGAAACATTGAACTATGAGAAATCTAATTTAAATATCCTCCCAGTATCAAAAAGCTTTTAGAGCATCATGTTTTTCTAACTGAAAATTGTTTTAATGTGATATTTCACTAGTATAAAACATTAAAATTAATGCTTGTCACTTTGTCACTATTTTGTCACACCGTATCGTCACATAAAAAAGGAAAACTGAATCCAATAAGGAAAAGAAGACAGACTTTACCCTAGTCTCAGCTGCTGGGAAATCTTGCCCTATCAAAATATTAGACTAAAGTTATGTTCTGTGAATTCCCTTTAGCATACCCAAAGAGCTACAATAACAGCAAAGAAGTGTTCATTGGTAATAAACTTGGGGTAGAGCTAGTGAACTGTTAATAAACAGAACTATTAGCATAAATTATGAGGTATCAAACACAGTTACACACCATCATAAAATAGAGGTGATATCTTGTGATGACTTATTCTTGAGAAACAAAGATTTTAAACATAGAAAGACTTCAATGAGTAAGTTGGCTTTAGAGTTCACTTTTGGATGAAGCAAATAACACTGAACAGGAGGGTTTTTTAAGCCATGTCGCTCCTCCCTAGTAAATACTCAGTCCAGAGTTCAGTTAAGACAAACAGAGAAATCTGGCAAGAGTCATTTTACAGGTAAATGGGTATTTTCACCCACTGTCTATACTTTTCCGCAATAGCCAGTACCTTTGAGGTCTTTTCACTGAGTTGTTTGTGAAGTATTTGCTTCACGACACCTGCTTTAAGCATAAAGTCCTCCCATACAAAGGGAGGAACTAATCCATCTCTTCCTAAAGTAGAAGATAGTTCTTAAGACTCCTCTAAGTTACAACTCTAAAATGCTGAACACGTTATCCCCAAAAGATGTATTTCATAGAAGATAATGATATTAACATTATGAGAGTCAGACTTACGTTCTCCAATAAATAACTGCTATCTTAGAAAGAAAGGCAAATTTACAAATTACCATTTTCATTTAATCTAAGATAACATCTATTGTTAAGATGCACCTATGTATTAAGAAAAAAACTTCCCATTAAACTATAACATAATGCTTTCGTATCACAGAAAATGTTTATTTTACATGTATTAAAGCAACACTTTAAAACAGATTTTTTATCACATCAATCTTGTGTATATGTAAAGAAAACATGTAAAATAAAGTGGTTAAGTTATAACTGTAACTTCGTATTCTGAGTTCAACTCCTCTGTATCACCTTTCAAATCACAGCCCTCGAGGTCTGCACTTTTCCATACAACGTTGCTATTGGTGCGGTGCATTTCTTAAAATGCGGGATGCATCACTGTCTTCTGTTTAATGTCAGAGGGGAGCTTTGGATAAAATGTCTGAGGCCTTAATGATAGTCCTGTTCGTTGCATGAATCGGTCACGCCAGCCTCTCGTTGCTTAAAATTTTGTTTCATCAATTCCAAAGGTTTGGGCCATTTCTCCTGCCTTCAATTGCATGGCCTGGCGTGTGACAGGCAATCCTTTTGCACGTGTCTCACTGACAAAATGTAGTACTGCTTCATCTACTTGTGGGTATCTCCTTTCTTGGGTCCAGTAAAGCATTTTATTGTTGCTTTGCAAAAAAATTTGGAATTGCGGTCATTCCTCCAACAACGAATATTTGCTTCACTAATATCAAATGTACGCCCTGCTGCTCTGTTTCCGTGCTTTTCTGCATATACAGTAATTTTACATTTCAATGCTGAATCATAGTGTAATTTTTTTGGAGACATTTTTTAATGCCTATTAAATCGGACACATACGATACCAATAATACACACATCAGTTAAAATGATGAAGCTATGAAAAGCTGTAAATTCACACATGCACAAGCTAGGATAATCACATGACTATCATCTGGTTCAAAGTAATGAGATGCATCCCAATTTCAGGCAAGTTAAAAATGTGAAAAAAGGGCTTAATAAAATATGGTTTTTCGAGTCTGTAAAGTTTACCAGATTTGAACCAGTGCCAAAACAAAAACAAAACAAAACCCAAGAGCCACAAAGTAAGTAGAAAGCTAATAAGCAAAAGATTATCTTTATGATAAAATTTGCAGTTGTCCAATTTGGTTTTAATTCCCTTTATATTTATATGGCTTATATGTAAATTTGTTTCTACTGGACTTAAAATCCAAGTCCAAATGTTCTTTAGTCACCTACTAAATCTTAAAGCCAAGTCATTAAAGACAGGGGCTTCCAATACCATTCATCATTCCCTAGCAAAGCACTATGTCTGGAGTCCATGGCCTTCGTCAGCAGGTGCCCTCCTCTGGCGAGCAGATCTGATCCTATGTGGAGAAGATGAAGTGTCTTCCTCAGTTTCAGACCCTGATGGCTCATGGTCTCCTTCTTGGGATCCTGTATCTCCCACCAGTTCCCGTAGAAACTTGAATTTAGATAGAAAAAGATGCCATACAAAATACCAACCTAAAAAAAGACAAAAACATTTAAGAAAAATTATTACACACAGTGTTATCAATTCAAAACATTACAGTTAATTTAGGAGACTACATTACAAAACAGTGCACATAATGTGTGTGTGTGTGCATGTATACATATATATATATAAAATTACAAATATATATTTATACAACAAACATTTATTAAAAGCATATACAATGTAAAAGACATAAAAATAAACTCAGTGATTACATACCAAGGGCAAAAGCAGTTTCTGCCCTCATGGCATTCGGAATCCAAGCTTGGTTCACTTATGTTAAAATTATAATGAGTCGGGAACCAGCAGTTAGCGTAATGGCTATGTCGCTGGACTCCCACGTAG